TTCATGGTCGTTTCTTAACTTTACCATTCATCGTTGTAGTCTACTGATGGTATCGTCTATTATTTTGTTCTAGATATTTCATTCACGTCTTCAAAACAAGCTAATTAAAAAGATCCATTTGGAATTCGGTTTCTTTATGAAGTGTTTGATTCGAAGTATGCGCTTTAAAATCTCAAGAATTATCTTCACTATTGCGAGAATTTATTTATTTTCCATTCAGATATTCAAGAAGAAGTTCAAGGACATCACTGTCGTCGAATTGGAAGAACAGTTTCTTCTGACCAACGTTCTATGTTTAATGCTTTATGCTCATCTGGTTGCATATTCGAACAACTTAGACATTCACCGGTCACACGGTATAAAAAACATAAAAGTAAGTTGTCGTTGGCCGTTTTAACTAAAAGAATACCTTATATGTAACTGAAAGTCCTGCTGTTTTTAGATATTCGTCAACAAAAACATTTATTATCAATACCTTTGACAAAATGGCAATGATTAATGGTATGATTTATAAAGATATTTTTTGATAGAAAATAATCTGATACAGTTGCTGTTTTACTTTTAGTGAACCGCAACACCAATGATATGTTTTACCGTTATAAAATGCCAAAATTGGTCGCCAAGGTTAGCCATATACTACTGAAGCGCTGGGTGTTGACTGAACTTTTACTGCCTTGAAAGCTAAACATTAAAATAAGCTTTATGACATTTACTCTGTTCTGTGAAACCTGTACTTTGTTTAGATTGAGGGCACAGGCAATGGAATTAAAACGGTTATTGTTAATATGACACAAATAGCAAAAGCATTGAGTAGACCACCGACATGTAAATGAAAAATAGTCACCGGCGCATATTTACTGGTAACAAATAACTGACATTTTTATCTTTTTCGACTAGATGTAACAAAATATTTCGGCTGTGAGTTGGGTGCTCAAGTTCAAATGATCGCCAAAGATGATCGTTATATTGTTAATGGTGCGCATGATGCTGAGAAATTACAAAATTTATTGGATGGCTTTATTAAACGTTTTGTTTTATGTCCTAGCTGCGATAATCCGGAGACACAATTGGTACGTATTTGAGAGAGAAAAATATTAATTATTTGAGAAAATTAAGTTCTTTTTCCCGTGATAATAGAGTTTTCGAAACCGAAATGGTGGTGAAATTCGTCAAGTTTGTATTGCGTGCGGTCATCAAGGAGGAATCAATATGGCATCGCATAAATTAACAACATATATATCAAAATACCCACCTGATGCGGTATGTGGATGTGGGTTTCTTGTGTAGCACGTGTAATAGATTTTCGATTATTTCAGGAAGGAAAAAGTGAAGGCCATGAAGGAAAAGAAAATGGTGGTACAAAAGCAAAAGGTGGAAAAGCAAAAAAAGAGAAAAAAGCGGCTGGTGGAAAAAATTCTGATGAAGATTCTCCGGTTGGTGCAGGAAAGGCGGTATGTTTTGAACTACAGTATAGCAAGAGTTTATTCATCTGTGTGTGTATGTGTGTGGTAATTGCAGAATGGTGCATCGAAAACTAATGGCGCAGGTGATGACGATGACGAAAATGGCGATTGGGGAGACGAAGATTTGTCGCCAACGGATGGTTTGAATGCTAAGAAAAAGCTCGATTTAAATGTTAAAAGTATGATACAATCAGATGATCTCGATAAACCAGTTGCTGAACGATGTGAAATGTTTTCAAAAATGCTGGAGGTAAGTTGTTTTTGCTTAATTTAACTGAAACGGGTGGCAGACATCTGTTATATTTTAGAGTAAAAAAGCATCGGATGAATTGAATAATACAGAAACAATTAAAGAACTACTGGCAGAAGCAGAACGTCTCGAAATAATGGAAAAAGCACCATTTGTTGTTGCCCAATGTTTATTCACCGAAAACATTTTGAAAGAACTCGATGTCTACAAAGCTCTGTTGTTAAAAGTATGTGTGTGTTGTGATTGTCAAAAAGGGAAACAGCAGTTGAAATATCTTCTATTCTAGTTATGCACAAAAAATTCAAAAGGTCAGAAATATTTCTTACATGGTTTGGAATCGCTAATCAGTGCTGGTTCATTAAAAGAAAAACTATTTAATAAAAAGTCGATTTCAAAAGTGTTTCTTAAATTGTATGAAGATGATATAATTGAAGAAGAAACGTTTTATTCGTGGTATGGTAAGGTAAGTCAGAGCTCGATTCTATCCTGCCTTTAGAATGTCTGACTAATGTTTCTTTTTCATAGACATTGAAACGAAGCTGTATAGACAAGAAGGTTGCTAAAGAAATACGTGAAATGTCCAAAGACTTTATTGAATGGTTAAAGACAGGTGGGTTCTCTGGCACAATATGTTAAAGTCATATGTGTTAAAACTATTTTTTATTTTAGCTGATGAAACCAGCGAAGAAGAAGAAGGTGGTGATGATAACGAAGAAGAAACAGAAGCCGAAAAAGAAAAGGTAAATCTTTGATGTCGGGAGAATATAAAAACAGAATTTGAGATGTGTTTGCTTTCTTCTAGGTTGCTATCAATTTTAGCTATGCAGCAGAGGGCTTAGAAGTTGCTAAAGAAAAGTCAAAAAGCGAAGCAGAATCGAAAATCGAAGTTAATGGCGAAATTATCAATGTCGATGATATTTAATTCTTATTTTTTGTGTCAAATCAACACAGAAAAGACAAAAAACAATTCCTGTTAATCGCTAAATAACCTCCCCAAAGCTGTTGTCTGTCGCTCTTATTGTATTCCTGAAAAGCATTTTTGTTTGTTTGTTTTTTTTCGTCGTCTTTATCAATGGTGTTGCGACTTCACATTTTTCTCATTGTCATGAGCGAAACTCGTTCTCTTTTTCTCTCTTTCGATTATGGGAAAAGGGATCGTATACGCGACAGTTTATCTACCTTTGTTGTCTTTCTTGTTTGTTTGTTGTTTTCTTTTCAATTTTCAGAAAGTACTACTTTTTCGTATACGCTTATAATTATTATTCATTTCTGCACAAAAAAGACTATAACTTCACTCAGTTCTATCTTGCTATTTAGAGACATGAAAATGCAAATATCCTTTAATATATGTATTTGAATGTATATGTAACTAAATGTCGATATGTTATTTAAACATGAGAAAAAAATGATATTGAACTTGATGAACAGTGATGGTCGGTAACATTAGGAACGAGAGCATTGCACTTGCTTTTTTTCTGCACGAGGAATGGATAATGAATATCATCCAATTTATCCTGACTACGTAGCAGATTGTTTCCTCTGAGTTGAACTTAAGGAAGCAATGGATATATATAATGTTATATATTGATCTAGTTGACAGTGTATTAAGGGATGATGAACAAAGATCTTTAATAGTTGGCGAATATTCCAGAATGAAACAATTTTCAAGAGGCTCGTTTTATAATTCTAAAATAAAGAAAAGTATTTTAATGTTTGCCAAAGGGCAAGAGCTGTTAAACTAAATAAAAACGAGTTGAATCAAGATTGTTGATTGTGTTTTTTATGAACTCTTGTAGACAGTGGAAATAATACGGAAATCACTTCTGAAGTCACCAAACTTGTTCAATATAAAGCGCAGATTGACTATAAACACAGTAACAATGACGAAGTCTATGAAGTTAATTTACTATTGATTGTTAATGATTTAGAGACTAAATCGCGTTTTGAATGTAGCACTGATGACACATATTAGATATTAACATTTGATAGACAAATATTTATCCATGTCCATTCTACTAAACCTAAAATTAGAGATTTTATTTATTTGAACAGTTGTCTACTTGATCGTAGCTTGCGTCAGTTTGTGGGTCATGGCCATTTATGAAGCATTCGGAACACTTAAACTTGGTCGGTGATTGGTAATACAAATGGTAAAGAAAAACAAATTTCAATGAACTGTTAGTTTATTGCACAATTGCGTCTGATGTGGTCCTGAGGAAAAGTTTATCCGTACATTTTACCTTCATTTATGAAAGTGGTAGCCTGACATGTAGTTCGGTATGTGATAATGTGTTCTTTCTTAAACAGC